GGGGGTAATGGGGGGATAAGGACACATATGTAATACCTTAATCAATAAAGAAACTTAAAAAAATAAGTAAATAAAGGTAGCTGAAGTGAGTTTATTTATCTAAAGGGATGATAGTTAATGTAATCATGAAATCCAAGAATTTTAACTTTACCTTATGAACAACCCAATAGAAAAATGGGCAAAGAGTATACAGAATCTCACAGAAAAGCAAGTATAAATAGCTGAAATATCTGAAGCGATGCTAATCTCACTCCAAGGGGTCAAATTACAGATGCCTATCTTTTCCGAACACACTGGCGAAGTGTGATGCTGTGGGCAGTGGTGTAGAGAAAGGGGTGTACTTGTGGACTTCTGGAGGATTTGGGGGACAGTTCTCAGAAGGGTATAAGCACACCTATTCCTCGGCAGTTTTACTTGTAGACATTTACCCCACAGCTATGTATGTTTAGAGTTGCTGAAGGTTATAAACACTGCGTGGCAACTAATAAGGAACTAATTAAATTGATATATCACAAAAGAGTATTGTGTAGCCATTGAAGATTGCCAAGTTACAGAACAGTATGTACTGTATTGTCATTCTTGGGAGGGGAAATGACGGCTGACAACAGGGAAGAGGAAGTTTGAATTCCTTTTTTGTAATTTTCTCGTATACTTCACACATAAATGTTAAATTTCAGTTGCCTTACCTATGCTAAACTGGAGGTAAATATGGAGACAGTGGCTTAATAGCTTAAGTAGAGGCAGCAAAGAAGTTCGATTACTTGATAACAAATAACGATGATGGCAGGGATTGCTGTCCTTAAACTCGTATGGATATTCCTGGTTTTTATGTTCTATGATTTACATCATAGATCCGAGAACAGACTGACACGAATGTCTGACTAGTTCCCTTGTTTTATTTCCATGTGCTCTAGATTGAATTTGCCAGGGAGAATGTGCAGAGTGCCAACCAGAGAATTCAGGATGCTCAGGATAAGTTCTACCTCTCCTGGGTGGAGTGGAAGAGAAGCATCGGCTACGACGACACCGATGAATCCCACTGTGCTGAGGTGAGATGACTAGGACACAGTCATCCATGACCGATAAGAAGTTCTACCAGACTTTTATTATTTAAATTTTCCCGTTATTCCTCTTAGAACACTCTTCTCCAGCAAAAGTTTGAACAGAAAAGCAAAGTTACATGACAGAAAAGCAGAACTGCAGTAACTTGAATAACCTACTGCTATTGCCCCTGGTGGGATACAGCTAAAGACCATGGGCCTTAACCTCAGTACAGACTAACAGGGGATGCAGGCATTTTTATGTGGTGATGTTTTTGACAGCATAGAAACAGGAACTATGAGACTAAATAAGAAAAGTACCTAAATTGGGCTTGGAGTGAGGATGGGTGAGTCAGATGACTTTCTGGAGGAGGTGCGTGCTAAGCTGGGACTGAATGGGAGAATAAACTAGGTGAAAGGGCAGTGAGGGGACTACTGTTCCAGACAGAAGAAATAGCACATTGCAATACTTAAAAAGTGGTTCTTTAGGTTCCAAAAGCTAGTATGCATGTGTGGAAAGGTGAATAAAAACACTGCTGCATTCAGGGTTGTTACGAGGATTTTAAAAAGTTGAGGAATACACACATGTGCAGTGACACGTAACCAACTGACTGTAATTGAACGAATTCCTACATAGCACTGTTGGGCCCACTGCTAATTTTAAACTTGTTTTATTTTTAGCACATTGAGTCACGCACTCTTGCTATTGCCCGAAACCTGACTCAGCAGCTGCAGACCACGTGCTCCACCCTCCTGTCTAACGTCCAAGGGTTACCACAGAACATTCAAGATCAGGCCAGTCACGTGGGGGTGATGGCTGGCGACATCTACGCAGTGTTCCGCAATGCTTCGTCCTTTAAAGAAGTGTCCGACGGCTTCCTCACTTCTAGCAAGGGTCAGCTGCAGAAAATGAAGGAGTCTTTAGATAATGTGATGGATTATCTTGTTAACAACACACCCCTCAACTGGCTGGTAGGTCCCTTTCATCCTCAGATAATCGAGTCTCAGAATGTTCAGCACCGTGTTGCAGAGAAGGACACAACCAGCCAGCAGGCCCAGCAGCCCGAGCCCAAAACACAGTGATCCTGTCCCTGTCACCAGTGCATGGTGCAGCCAGCCAGATGACATCTTCTGTTATGTTGCAATTAACCTGCTAGACAACTGTGACTTGGGGAAACAGCGAGCTAGAAAAAAAAGGGCCCCTTCATAGTAGTCATTTCCTACTGGATTAAGATCTTTAAAGTTTCTGGCCTTAGCAGATGAGTCATTTTGTTTACCTGGCTGGTCAGAGCCTGGTCAGAGGTCACAAAAAGTCACACTGCATTTATGGTCTCATTCTGTTGCCACTGTTGCTGCCTGTCTGTACTGAATAAAAACACCTTCGGGTGGGTTGCCGTGCGAACTGGCGTCTGCTCCCGTTTGATCTGCGCAGGCCTCATCATTGTTGTGTCTCACAATGCATGCTTGTACAACTTTAGTTTTGTTTTTTTTAATTTTTCATAAAGGAATGCCTCCTGTGAGTTCAATAAAATTCACTGCACAATAGATCAGTTTTATGCTGTGTGTTCCATGTGCTTTGTATGTTGCTTTCACAGAGCAGCTTGGCCTGCATGACAGGGTTATTAATACACATACGTGAATTCCAATTGGCCTGTTAGAGGGAATTTGGCAGTATGATAACATTAGATGACTAATGTCAAAAATGGAATGTTCGATGACAGGTTTTAAACAAGTGAAAAGCTAATGGGCATATAAGAATTTTACTGGGTGAGAGTTGCCTTCATTTGCCCATTTACTGGACTCTTGAGATTAAGTAACTAGTCATTAATCTCTTAGCCTTAGTTTTCTCATCTGTCATAAAATTAGTGATGCCTCACCAGATGGAGGTGAAGTATTTGAAGATGGGCTGTCTTTTTCTGTTTTTGCACTAAAGGCATGGGGACATCATCTGTGGGACAGTGACATGTAATATCTTCAACTTGCTAGTTCGGGTGTGAGAATATACTATGAGGTCATGATTAGTCAAATATTTCCACTTTGTTAAGGCATTATATTGAAAGACTAAAAAAATGAAAAGGGAAAGCTAAAGTTTGGTTTGCCCAAGATATCTCTTTGAGTTTCATTCAGCTCATGGAGATGGTAGTGAGGGAAGGGAGAAAGCAGGGTAGATACCTGTGCATATACCTATCAGGTGTGGGGGATGGCAAGGAGGTCCTCTTCTGGGCTCATGGACTTGGGCTTGGGTCAGTGGGGCCTTATCCAGTCTCAGGAGTGACCCAGCACTGAGGCCTGCATGGGTGATGGTCTTGTAAGATATCCCTGCTCTATCAACTAAAGTACTTGTTGCTTATGTCTCAGGGCAACACCCTCATGCTCTAGGTGTCCACCTTCCCAGCAGGTATCCTATATTTCCACAGTAACCATATGGTAAGGAAAAGATACTGAATCATCCCACTGTTGAGTATCTAAGTTCCTAGTCTGAAAGGTAATAGCAACTGTTCAGAGAAAAGAAGTGTCTTCAGGCATAAGGTCAGCGTAAGCCAAAGACATGTTTTATGGTATCTTCCCTGCTCTCCTTGCTTACCTTTTGAAATTCTGATGTCACTCTCCCATGTTTTAGAAGTTACTGATTCCTGAAAATAATGCTGTCAACTGGGATAGGCCGAGGTGGTGAGGGATGAAGCCTTTTTTTTTTTCCTTTTTCTTTCTTTCTTGGATGAAACCTTTTTTTTTTTTTAAACCTCACCCAAGGGCATGTTCTTTTTTTTTTTTTAATTTATCTTTATTGTGTCTTTACCAAACTAGTGTCTGTGTTCATGAGTTACACATATATGCATATAAGTTCTTTGGTTAATCTTTCCTGTCCCTGCGCCCCCCCCCTATTTTATTCATCAGTTTATTTTGCTTGTTAGATTCCACATATAAGTGAGGTCATGTGACAATTGTCTTTCTCTGACTGGCTTATTTTGCTTACAGTAATATTCTCCAGGTCCCTCCATGCTGGGGAGGACATGTTCTTTATTGATTTTAGAGAGAGAAAGGGAAACATCAATCCATTGCTTCTCATACATGCCCTGACTGGGGATTGAACCCGAAACCTTTTGGTGTACGGGATGAAGCTCCAACTGACTGAGCACCTGGCCAGGGCTTGGATGAAGCCTTCTTGATCATCCAACTGGGGCTAAGCTGAGCTGGGAGGCAGAGACAGGGTACTCGGGTGGAAAAGGCTGAAAAGGAAAATCACATCCTCAATTGCTGCTGAGGTGGTGAGAAGCAGGCAGCCTACTGAGCTTGATTGTGACATTGCTAAATAATACAATGTATCCTTAGTTAAGACTGTTAGTAAAATGACTAAGTGAAATGATAGGAAGGCAGTGTGAAAGGCAAATGTTTGAAGGAGGGGGGACAGAGTTGCCTGGGATTCTTTCATGCTTAATTTGCTTAAACTGGGTTTACAGATAAACAAACAAACAAAGTAGGCTTGCAGATTAGAGAGACATGGATCATAATATACTGAAAGGCTTGGAATCTCACAGGGGAGCCTAGTCTTGATGTAGAATGGACCTTCTAGGTTATTTAGTTTGGTACTGGTTTTATGAAAGTGCTATTTGAGAGAACCATATAAAAGATATTAAAGCCATATCATAACATACATTTTGGGGTTAAAATTTTTTAAAAATTAACTTGTGCATTCATTGGTTAGAGACAATGTGGATATGTAGGTGCTTACATTATTATATGTACCTCCATTAAAAAATTATTTGGTTCAATATTTGAGTTTCTAATAGTGTAAGGCATGAACTCTGCCCTGCTGAGAATGTAAACACCAGAAACTGTCCTCAAGAGACTTATAAAAGTCTTAGGAAAGTTTGTTGATGAATATTCAAGAACTATCCTGATATAGAACACTCTTTATCCTTCACCTTTAATGGCTCTAAGTTGCTAATTTTTTAATTTCCTACCTTTATTACAAAACTAACCTGCAAAATATGACATATTAGCATAAGGCTGTCCAGAGTAACAATTTGAGTTTTAAGTTTTATTCACCAAAATGAAAGAGAACACTAACTTAAGTTATAGCTCCTCTGAGGGGCAAAGAGGTCTGACGTCTTCTAGAACTTAAGAAAGTAGTGAAGAGTGTTATTAGTTGACATTTTACAAAAGTAATGAGTAGATTAAATGGTTCTTTTGTGTATCAGTGATGAAAAATGGTTACCATTTAAATTTTCATTTATCTTGGGTATATACCTAGGAGTGGAATTGCTCATGGGTCATATGGTCACTCTACGTTTATTTGAGGAACTGTCAGACTATTTTCCAAAGTGGCTGCAGCATTTGCATTCTCACCTGCAGGGTATGAGGGTTCTGATTTTGCCATATCTTCACCAACAGTTGTTATTTAACTTTTTGATTCTAGCTAACCATTTAAATTATAAGTGAATAAGAGTAGATGTTGAATAGTGTGAATCAAGCACTTTTCCTATTTCACTGTCTACACAGGTTAGAGCAAAGAAAACTCGGCTACGGAGGTAGCTAGTGTAGCTATCAGATCGACTCCCTTCTATAAAGTGGCCCAAGTGAGCTTTCAGCATAGATAGAACCACATCATCTTCCCCTACCCTTTCTGTCTATGCCAGGGATTATTAACCGGGAATTCTGATAAAATGCAGGTTCCTGGGTTCTACCACCAGAGAATCTGGTTAGTAGGTAGTACCAGGCATCTCCACTTTTAAAAAGCATCCCCCCACCCTAACCGGTTTGGCTCAGCGGATAGAGCGTCGGCCTGCGGACTGAAGGGTCCCAGGTTCGATTCCGGTCAAGGGCATGTCCCTGGGTTGCGGGCACATCCCCAGTAGGGGGCATGCAAGAGGCAGCTGAATCGATGTTTCTAACTCTGTATCCCTCTCCCTCTCCCTTCCTCTCTGTAAAAAATCAATAAAATATATTTTTTTAAAAAAAAAAGATCCACTTTGAGAAGCAAAGGAAATAGGAAACAAATTATTTTAACCTAAAACAAAAATAGGGATAGGGTTACCTATAGTACCCTCTCCTCAAACAAGACCCTCACTGTGGGCCCCATAAAATATTTCAAAAGACCTGCTGTTGATGTATCTGCTGATAGTAAATGATTCAAATACACAGGTGCCAGCATTGACTAGTTCATTGCTATTCAATGGGTAGCAAGAATCACTTGCATTGTGTTGTGATAAGTGACAACCTTTTTCCTAGGCTGAGAGTTCTAACTACTTCCACAGACTCTTTTTAGCCAATGATAAAGCACTGGTATAAGAGGGTGTTCCTACTGTAGGGCAGGGGGTGTGCCCTCTCTCAAACTGTACCAACTTGTTCAAGTAAAGGGTAAAGAGAGAGTAAAGCAGAACCAAGATGCTACTGACCCTCCAACTGCAGGCACATAATCAAGCTGTATATGCAAACTATTATGAAGGGGGAGAGGTTTCTGTTAAAATCAAACCCTCAACAGGGTTAGTCTTACCTGTTTGATGTTAGAGCTAATCATTACCTCTCGCACGATCCTTTTATGGCCCTATACATAGGAATTCCTTTTATTTTATTTTAAATTTTTATTTATTGATGAGAGAGAAAGAAGGAGAAGGAGGGAAGAGGGAGAGAGGGAAACTTTTGTTGTTCTACTTATTTATGTATTCATTGGTTGCTTCTTGTATGTGCCCTGACCTGGGATTGAACCCACAATCTTGGTGTATGGGGATACGCTCTAACCAATTGAGCTACCCCAGCCAGGGCCATAGGAATTCTTTTTATACAAACAAACAAAAATTTTACTTTTTTTCTTTATTTTTTAAAATATTTTTATTGATTTCAGAGAGGAAGGGAGAGGGAGAGAGATATTGAAACATCAATGATGAGAGAGAATCATTGATTAGCTGCCTCCTGCACGCCCCCTATTGGAGATCAAGCCCGCAACCTGGGCATGTGCCCTTGGTCAGAATCGAACCTGGGACCCTTCAATCGACGCTCTATCCACTGAGCCAAACTGGCTAGGGCTTACTTTTTCTTTTCTCTTCATTATTTCTTCTATAATTGTTCTTTATTTCAAAATAAATTGTCATTCTGTGTCATGTTACCAGCATTGCATGCACATCACCTTAACTAGCAAGTTAAATTCCAAAAATGGAGTTTTTATTTCTGTAATAGCCTCACCAATTCAGGGCCCCAGGCCACCACTAGCTTAACTTTATGCAAATTAAAATATGGTATCTTATCCTCATGCATGTAGTGCCACCTTCTGGAAAGTCATAATAAATATGCGAATCAAAGGAGTCTATGACAGAAAAGGTGCCCACTGTGGTTGTATGGTGAACAATCTGCAAAATGTACACAGGGACCAGGGAGTCCTAGCAAGGTCACTTGATTTTCTTGAAAAGAATGTATTGCTGGTTTCCTGTCCTTTTTCACAGAGGGACTATGATTATCTCATTAGTTTCATAATAAGCATCTGGTTCTGAGTTTGGCCTCCATCGGTGATGAGTATTCACAGCAAGAGACTTCTACACTCCTTTGATATT